CTACCGCCGAAGATGAGGTTAGAGCTGATGATACTACTGCAGAGTCCGAGGCTGAGACCGATGAGGAGCAGCTTGTGTTCAGGAGGAGACGGTCTATGAAGGCCTGACTGACTTAGAGGAGGGCATGGTCCATTCACCTGTTCAGGCCTCTTTGAGGGATGTTCCTATGGTGAGCACCTATTGAGCCACAATTTCTGAGATCATGGGCACTTATGCCCAGACTGAGATTGTTGGGATAACTGATACACCGGGAACTGATCCCCTAACAGATGGATTGACAGACATGCAGACTTCATCCCAGGCTTAGCCTGGCAGGTTGATTTTTCCCCTCCCTCTCTATTACCTTTTTATATACTGTTTTTGTTTTAGTTGCATTTGAGGACAACTCCTTATTTGGTTGGGTGGGGTGAGGTATTTTCATACCTACCTCTTGTGACTATTTTGTGAATATTGGCTCCGTTTTGATGGTTTTTGTGAATATTGAGCCGATTGTTTATATATCTATCTTATTGTGATATTGCAAATGTTCTTAGATTGTGGCCTATTGTTTTAATGGGAAATTGGGTTTTGAACCACTTTTTAAAAAATTTCCACCTCTTCTGTGTATGATTGTGGTTGTTCTTGTGCAAATTTGAGTGTTAGTTGTGATCAGTATTGATGACTTGAATAGTGCTCTTAATTGAACAAATTGAATGTGCAGCTACGATGAGGCAAACTAAGTTACATAGGCAATATGTGAACTTTCAGCATCTCGTTGTGACTAGCCGGTTGTTGAATAAGTCTCTTGTAATGAACATTGCACGTCGATGAGTTCGAGATTTGGACTCATTTAGGGCTTTGTTTTGATAGTTTTAGTGTCCTCAAATGCCTAATTTATGCTATAAACTGATGTCAAGACCTTGATTTTCAGGTGTATGAGCTAAGGAGCAAGGTAAGGACACTAACATTCAAAAAAGAGCATAACAAGCTGAAGAAGTGAAGAAAGGCGAGCCTGGTGATCGCCGAGTGGCTCTGCAGACCGCCTAAAGTTCCAGTGTGCCATCCCTGAGGGAAGAAACCAAGTCGGCGACAAGAATGGGCAGTCGGTGAATGGCCAATCAGTTCTGCGATGACAAAATGGATCTCCCAAAATTACAGGACTTGAGGATGCTGAGAACCAATGCAAAACGACGATGGAAGAGAGCAAAGGGCGGATCGCCCAACGACTCGGCGAACCCGACTTACTTCGCCTAGTGGCTTTTCAGGCCAAATTTTGGGCAACTATAAATTGAATTTTGATCTGGAAATTTATGACGGCCCTATCATTTAGAAAAGTTTTCTTTTGAGTTTTAGAGTTCCATTGTAGACTTTAAAGCACTTTTGGAGGCACAAACTTGAAGATTTGCAAGTGGGTCTTTAAATTTAAATTTTGGAAAACATTGTAAAGGCTTGGAGAATATTACCCTGCTGTTGGATAATCTAGTTGGTAATTGTTTTTATCTTTTTATAATGTTTAGCTAAAACCTCTATTCTTCGGGTGTTATTATGGATTGAATTAGCTTATGGGTATTGATTATTACTAATTTAAATGCTATATTAAAGTTGGTTTAATCATTAGTTGTGTTTTAATCTATGAATTTTAGTTGCAAATACAGTTTTAACTTTGAGTTCTTAGCTTGCTTGAGAAAGAAGTTTTTGAACCAAAGCTTTTGATTAATGGTTTGTAGGTATTGGGTTGATGTGGGTTCAACTCAAAAGAGTGAATCTTAAACCAAATGCTACCCATCTTACTCGAGAGAGAGGATGTATTAAAGTTGTGGGTTGTTCTTATTTGTTACGCTTGTTGATGTTCGACAGAAATCACTTGAATCGAAGTAGTTGTTCGAGAGAAAGCTATTTTAATCATAGCCCAGCTTACCACTAATATTTATCTAGTTATTAGTAGTTTTAATTACCCATATAGTGAAATTTGCCTATAATTGATCACATCCCAAGAATTCCTCTCTATATTGCTCTTTCAGTTTTATGTGATTGCGTTGTAGCTGATAAATTTCAAACCAAAAGCCCCCCTCTGACATTTGTGCCACCCCCTTTAGCCTTGTTTACATGTCTTTTTCGATAATTTATATTGATATAGTTTATTAGACAACTTTTGTACTTCCTAATTGATTTTGAACACGTACCACTCCATGTGGGTTCGACCTCAATTCTTCATTGGGTTTTATACTGCTTAACGATCGTTTGCAATTGGATGAGGTGAGCTTGAAACGTTAATCAAAATGGCACCACTACCGGGTAGTGGTGTTTTTTAAAATTCTTTTATTGAAGTTGAATTGTGATCTCTTTAGTTGTAGTTGAATCGATTAATCCAATTTGGCGGTGTTGGTGCAATTCGTCTACCCCCTGTTGAGGGTAATGCAGTTTTCCATGTTATGTGCACAATGTTGCTGCTTCTCCAAATGAAAGGATTATATGGAGGGTTGGCACATGAAGACCCTCATGAGCATATTAGGTACTTCATGGACGTTTGTGGTCCGTTCTTATTCAAGAACATATCACAAGTATCAGTCTATCTCAGGTTGTTCCCATTCTCTTTAATGGGTAAGGCTACAAAACAGTTGACTGAGTTACCAAGGGATTCCATCACTTCATGGGATGAACTTACTACAACATTCTCTATGAGATTCTTCCCCCTATCAAAGATGATGACACTTAGAGACATCATCTAAGGTTTCAAACGCTTGGAGGCTGAGCTTATCCATGAGACGTGGCTGAGATTTAAGAAGTTGGAACTTCAATGCCCGACTCACGGACTTCCAAACAATGTACTACTACCATACTTTTTATAGGAGTCTTGCCTTGGTGAACAAAGGAGTTGCTGATCAACTTGTTCCCTGTGGTATAATGCAACAACCCTATAAAGTAGCATCACAACTCCTTGATGGCATGACCAAGATAAACAGAGCATGATATACTCGTGAGGACCAAGTGTCTCCTCTCACTTTTAGAATGACAAAAGAGCAGATGGAAAAGGATCAGGAGAGGACCAAAACATGGCCAAAATGATGACCTAGCTGGATATATTGGCAAAAAATGTGATGGGTAGTGGTGCAACGAGTATTAATGCTATTGGTGTTAGTGGAGTGAATCCCAAAGAAGCTCATTTTGAAGCACTTTACAACAAGGAAATGAACTTCCTAGCTAATCAAGGAGATGGATATCGGCAAAAACTATCCAAAGTCGGGTGGAAACCCAGTTGGAATATAAATGAGGGATGATAAGATCGTGACAGAGAATGGCGTGATCGTAATGCCACTTGGAAGGAAAAGGATGACAAGGACATGTATGTCCCACCCCATGAGCGTCAAAATCCCAAGGAGCCTGAAAATGTCTGTACCGAAGATATGCTCTCACATATTCTCAACAAAGTTGGAGGGTCGGACAAAGTGTTGAAAGAAATGAAGGAGAATGTCTGTACACTTAATTAGACGGTAACCTCCTATTCCATGTCAATCAAGCAGTTGGAGGCCCAAATGGATCAAATTTCATTTCATTTGAACCCAAGGCCAAAAAGAGGCCTGCCAAGTAATACCTTGGCGAACCCGAAGAATGATCCAAACAATGTACGATGTTAACTAAGGCTCTTCTTCAGAGGCAACCCAAGTTTTTAATGCTTAAGTTTTTTGATTTTGAATAATGGGTGTTGATTGTGCAGGTTAAAAAGTGAAAAGTATTGGAAAATGGGTCATTTGGCAAGCCAAAGTCCAGTCGGCGACACGCCGAACATGTTAGCGAGCCCCTATTTGGGCCGCCGTTGGCACCACCAAACTTGAAGGGGAACTCTATAAAACTCAGTGGGCCATATGCTCAATCGGTGACTCACCGAACAGGTCAGTGAGCCCGACTGTAAGAGCCTAGAAACTAGTAGGCTAAACTAGAGCTTGACGGAGGGTTAGAATCGTGTAAAACTCCCCATACTTAAAATGAAGGGTTTCTGGTTAGAATGTCAAGGTACAACCCCTCAAGGACCAACCAAGGGCCCTTGAGGAGGACCTTTGCGAAACTGCCCTAAACAATCGACCTACGGCTGGACCCACGCCCCGTAGGTGAGGGGTCATGGATAAAGGTCTCAAAAAATAGGCCCCAGTCACCACAACCACGGTTTAGCAGCACACCATGTGGGTCCATCCACGACCTGTGGACGTGGTTCCATGGGTGGTGGCCTGGAGGCAGTTTCAAGAATTAAGTTAGGGGCATTTTGGGGTTTTTTGATTTTAAGTGGAATTAGGTTGTGCTATTTTAATTTCATTTATACTAACTATATAATGACTTTAGACCCCTAAATTCGTTGATCCTTGTCATTATTTCAACTCACCAAAAAGAAAACCCAATTCCCCCTCAAATATTCTCTCTAGAAAGTGAAGAAGAAGAATAAGAGAATCAAGGTAGGTCAAGCCAAGTCTCTATTGTTTCAAGATTTGAGGACTTTGTATCCAAGGTATGATAGTTTATTCATCCATTGATTCTTCCATCTATGGAGCCCCCTAGAATTCCCCCAATTTGATGAAGAATTCCCCAATTCAAATTAGGGTTTCTTCAATATTGTGGGTTATGATGTATGTTGAACCAATTGAGTGGATATTGATTGTTTATGATAGAATTAGTAGTGAATCATGTTATTATGATAAGATTACATGTTTTCTATGCCTAACCCTAGTCTAATTGATGAAATTGAAGTAATGTGGGTTTGTGCCTTAAGAAGGGAACAGTACAAGAAAAAGCCTTATTTAAGACCAGAGTTTTGTGATGGATAAAAAATCTAGTCCCTAAATGTATATCTACAAGGACGATATATAGTTTTGGTCCCTAATTCTTGATTTTATAGCAAAGGGACTAAATGTGGTCCCTAAAATGATGAGAAACTGGTCCCTATACTTCAAACTAAACGGGACAGAGCATCACTTTACAAATTTGAATCTTAAAAAGAGTGAGATAAATAAAGAAAAAACTAAATCAAAGTAAACTTGACGGGTAAAAACTTACTTGATCTCTGAAAACCCTAATCAACACCATCTCTCAGATGAGCAATTTCAACAACGCTCTTCTGAGATTCTCCACAAACCTCTAGTTCCTCATGCCGCCATCTTCCCTTCTACTTTTGATCTTTTTCATAGAAATTTCATGGTCGAGTTTGGAGCTATGTACAGACACCATTGATCTCTTCAGATCTCTCTGTTTGGTTAGATCTTTTGTTTATATCCAGCTCCATTTTTCCTTTTTATTTTTTGTTTTTGCCTCATAGTTTTGTTACACAATGATCTTTCAGAGGAGTAAAATGATATTCCATATTAAAATTATTTTAGATTAAGTTTCCTCTGTTCAAATGGTATTGATTCCTGAATTAGGGTTATCTTTGCTGTTAAGATCTTGATTTTTCAAGTGAGAATTATTTTATGAGTTTGGGTTATCTTTGAGATTATGATATTGATATTGAAGTGGGTATACATGTTAAGTGAATCAGAGAGATTACACATTTTCAATTTACTCTACTCATTTTTTGATTTATGTTGTTATTGAAAGTTTGGTGCTCTGGCACTTACAGTGTGATTATATTTTCTCCACATGTTATAGAATTGTTATCTATAGAAATTGATAGATGATTTATTTGAGCTCTAAGAATTTGGTAAGGCGGGGTTCAACTTTATCAAGGATATTGTGGGAGCTTGCACAAAAAATTTGCATTGTCCACGTGGTAAATTTGTACACATAAGTACACTAATAGAGCTGTGTTTTATATGCATGAATATAGTTGATTAACTTGCTTCAATATGTATTTCACAAATTACTTTGGTCTTAAGCTAGAATGGCAGCCATGCTGAATCTGAAGAAATCACAGTTTAGTTGCACCTTACTTAAACAAAGATGTGTCAATATTCCTTGTATTCTTGATTATAATATAACTTTAGCTTATTCAATCTACAAATACTTGCTGAAAAATTTAATGGGATACTTTTTTGACAATTTTTTCGAGCAAATAGAAAGAGCTCCCATAGAAAATTGCAGAAATGTTTTGGTCTGTTAAGAATATGCAATAATTGCATCCATCTAGTTATCCCATTTGTGTTCCATTGGTTATTTGATTAGAACTCCTACATCATATACTTTTCATTTAACATTGATTATTTGTACATAGATTGCCTTTTTCTCTTTGCTGCAGTTGAATAGAATGTGTTCCGTTATTAATCCAGCAAAGTTATGTTTCTAAATATGTCATATATGTTTAGGTACCCGTTATGGTGCCAGTCTGTGAAAGCAGATTAAGAAAATGGAGGTTAGCCAGCATAGCAAGTACTTCTGCGAGTTTTGTGGAAAGTATGTTTATTTTTGTCTTTTGGATAAATTAGCAGGTATATGCAACAGAATTTCACCATCTCCTGAATGCCTTTCTGCTCTACTTGGTTTGTCTTATATACATGTGATCTGAAGATATACTTGTCACTATGAGCAGTATGCAGTGAAGAGGAAAGCAAGAAGTGCTTATACATTGAAGTAATAATTTATTCCCTTATCTATATATTTCTCTTCAATTTTTCGTGTGAGTATCTTATTCATCTTTTTCTTCAATAGCACTGCAAGTGTTGTGACAGTTAGGAGCACAATCCGAAGACTGAGGGAGTAAACTGAGAGTTAGAGAAGTCATCAATCAACCTTTTTGTTTATCTACTTATGATGAGTCTGTGTAATTTTTAGATCAAATATGTTTTTCAATTATAAGACCATTTTGATGTTTGTGAACACACTCGATTTAGTCATTTAAATACTGTTGGGGAAATTGATCTTTTCTGAGAAAGTTAATATCATTTCCAACTCTTTTTGCAATGATCTTTTGAGTTTGCAGATTAGCTTCTATTTTGATTTGATAGTTTCTTTGTGTTCATTCAGGAGTATAAATATTTGGATGAATATGAGGAGGAAAGTGAAGAGCAAGAAGAGGATGAGTGTGGTAAAGAGGATTATGAGGAGGAAAAAACCAAACAACTTCCAAAAGAATTATTGGAGTACCTGCAGCTCAGATAAATGACTGAAAAAGATATCGGAAAACAGAGGAAGACAAGAAATCAAGAAGGCATTGCCAAGGGATAAGTGAGTGCTACTAATGTGTATCTGTTTTTTAAAATTCTTGTCCTTTGTTTTTAATCCAAGTAATTCATCATGTCAATAAAATCAATCTACTACAATGAATTTTCAATAATATCCAACACTTCACTTTATTCATAACTTAAAAAATACACTTGATCAATACGCTAATGTTGTCTTCTCGAGTTGCCAAAAGTAGGACGTCAAACTAGTTGGTCATATGAAGATTGCCAGAAGCAAAAGGTCATTACAAAACTAATGATATTAACGTGTACAAATTTAAGTCAACCAGACACTTAATTGACTTAAGGTTCTGAATATTTTCAAACAACTGGAGCATTGAAAATATAGCAAGAATGTGTAAGGATTATGTTTCTTTGAGAAGATAGCCCAGAAGGATGTCCAGCAATGCAACGACTTCTCTTATGTTCTTGCTGAAGCTTGTTATTTTACTGCATAATAGAAATTTTCTCCTCTGTCAGCTTTCAAATTAGTGCCTTTGTCCAACGAGTTGTCTTGCTGCGCATTATATGACCTTGAAATATTATTAAGCTCGAATATATTTACAGCTCTATTTTCGGATACTAAAGTCCTAGGAGAATAACCTTCCTCAGACCCCTCCCTTATAGGCAGTGGCACTTGAGGGGAACATAAATCACTTTCAACTTGCAGTCCTCCACACAATTCCCCGACTCCTTAATGAACATCTTGAGAGTAATGTCCTTTGCAGTAGTTCTAAGGCTTGCAACAACACTTTGAAGCAAGATTTTATCCTTGCATTGCATGACTGGTTGAGCCTCTTTCTGCGGTTGCATTCTAATTATGACATCGCTGAAAGAGTTAGGCATGACAATTCAAGTGTTGGGCTTCTGATATACCGTGAGTTTACGATATTTCTAATACATTTCACTTACAAGTTGTGTGTGTCTAGGGTTTTTTTTATATTGGTTTTTATGTGTTGTATCATGTTTTGCAGGAAAGGTGTTCAGGCGCGGAAGTTTAGAGATAGCTGAAGGAAATGCAGAAAAAGGCATTCACGGAGGTCATCTACGGACCGTAAGTCCATTCACGGTCCGTAGGTGATGACCGTAGATCAGCAGGAATGTGTTGAGGACAAATCAGGGAAATCTGACCAAGTGTGGAACCACGGTGACCATTGCCGGTTCGTATATTGATCTACGGACCGTACTGTTGATCCGTAGAGTGAGACTGCGAGGGTTCTAGTACCTGATTTTTGAAGATGCTAAGTATGGAGCGACGGAAGGGATTGACGGACCGTAGGTCGATCTACGGTCTGTGCTGGTGATCTGTCGTTTGCTTCAGAGAAGCTGATTGTTGGATGCTGAAATATTTTCTAAGTCCCGAGTGACGGAAGGGACTTACGGACCGTAGATCCATCGAAGGTCCGTAAGTCAGTCTCGTGGATCGAAGACGCGTACCTGAACAAAACTTTCCTTAATTTGTTTCCTTTTTTATTTAGGAGTTGTTTTTCTATAAATAGGGCATATAAACCTCACTTTTGGGGTTTAGGCATTATTATTCTATTCTTGCTTTGTAACTTTGGAGATTAATTTGCAACCCGAGCAATTATTGATTTCCCAAGTTCGTTTTGAAGATTTTGGCTTCGCAATTCAAGTTAATTTTTTGGGTTTGTTATTCTCTTTACGTAAGTTCATGATTTCTCCCTCTACAATTATGAATTGTGTTCTTGCTAATATGAGTAACTAAATCCACAACTAGGGTTGTGGGAACCATGATCGATTAACAAAGTATGAATAGTAAATAAGCAATTCTTGACTAGTATTTTGCATGCATTGATAATTCTTTCGTTTAGAAGTCTTTTTAACGGTGGCCAACGTTAGAACTCGCCTTGTTACTACTTGCCGGACCAAGGAGGTAATTAACAAGAAAAGAATTATCAACATAGATTTAGTGTGATACTATCTAATAGGCTAGTGTCGATTGGTGCGAAGTAATAACTAAGCCAAACATCGATTATGATATCTAATATGAGGTAA